TTCTTCGGGATTGGAAATGAAAACAGATATTTTCCAGTTCTGTGGCCACTGTTGAGTTTTCCAAATTTGCTGGCATATTGATCTTTTAGGATTTGAAATAGCTCAACTGGAATTCTATTACCTCCACTAGCTTTGTTCATAGTGATGTTTCCTAAGGCCCACTTGACTTCGCATTCCAGGATGTCTGCCTCTAGGTGAGTGATCACACCATCGTGGTTATCTGGGTCATGAAGATCTTTTTTGTATATTTTTTGTGTATTCTTGCCACCTCTTCTTAAAATCTTCTGCTTCTGTTAGGTCCCTACCATTTCTGTCCTTTATTGAGCCCATCTTTGCATGAAATGTTCCCTGGTATCTCATTTTCTTGAAGAGATCTCTAGTCTTTCCTATTCTATTATTTTCCTGTTTCTTTGCACCGATCACTGAGGAAGGCTTTCTTATCTCTCCTTGCTATTTTTTGGAACTCTGCACTCAAATGGGTATTTCTTTCCTTTTCTTCTTTGCCTTTAGCTTCTCTTCTTTCCTCAGCTATTTGTAAGGCCTCTTCAGACAACCATTTTGCCTTTTTGCATTTCTTTTTCTTGGGGATGGTCTTGATCACTGCCTCTTGTACAATGTCACGGACCTCCATCCATAGGTCTTCAGGCACTCTATCAGATCTAATCCCTTGAATCTATTTGTCACTTTCACTGTATAATCATAAGGGACTTGATTTAGGTCATACCTGAATGGTCTAGTGGTTTTCCCTACTTTCTTCTATTTAAGTCTGAATTTGGCAATAAGGAGTTCATGATCTGAGCCACAGTCAGCTCAGATATATTAAGACACAAAGTATGAAGTATTAAGACACAAAATCACCAAACTGCTTCCAAGTGACTTAACTGCACCACTCAAGGAAGCTCAATGAACACCAAGCACAAGAAACATAACCAAAACTATATCAAGACACATCATGATCAAATTGCTCAAAAGTAGAGATAGAGACAATCTTAAGACACACACACACACAAACAGATGACATACACATTAAACTCAGAGGAACAATCTGACAGCGGATTTCTTGGCAGAAACAATGCAAGAGAAGAAAGTAGTGGAGTGTGTTTAAAGCACATTGGATAAGACAGTCAACCTGAAAGTTTATATCCAATGAAAATATCTTTCAAAAATGAAGGTGAAACAAAGACATACAAAAGCTGAAAAAATTCATTATCAGCAACCCCACACTATAAGAAATGTTAAATGAAGTCTTTTAGGCAGAAGGGAATAATATGGATTGACAAAAAGTATGAAGAGCACTGTAAAAGGTAACCACACAGGAAATATATAATTTTTTCCTAATTAAATCTCTTTAGAAGATAATCAAAAGTTTAAACAAAAATAACAATGTATAAATAAAAAGTATGACAACAATAGGTAGAGGGCTTCCCAGGTGGCGCTAGTGGTAAAGAATCCACCTGCCAATGCGGGAGACACAGGGAGGTGGGTTTGATCCCTGGGTCAGGAAGATCCCCCTAGGGTAGGAAATGGCACACCACTCCAGTATTCTTGCCTGGAAAATTCCATGGACAGAGAAGCCTGGTGGGCTACAGTCCTCAAGGCCACAAAGAGTCAGACATGAGTGAGTAACTGAGCATGACAATCATAGAATAAGGACAGGAGGGAAGAAACAGAAGTATACTGTGTCAGGTACATATACCACATGAAGTGATATAACTTAAGGGAGACCGTGATCAGTTAGAGATGTATTCTATAAACCCTAAAGTAACCATTAAAGTCAACAGTTATAGCTAATAAGCCAACAAAGGAGGTTAAATGAAATCATAAAAAATACACAAGCCAAGAAGGCAGGAAACAAAAAAAGCAAATTAAAGAATAAAGAATTGATGTGACCAAAAAAAAAAAAAAAAGCAGATATCAAGATGACAGGCTTAAATCTAACCATACAAAAATCACATTAGATGTAAATGCCCTAAACATCCCAATTAGAGAGCACAGATTATCAGATTGGATAAAAAAAGCAAGATTCATATATACGCTGCCTATAAGAAACACACTTTTACTATAAAGCAGTGAAGAAATTTTTCCCTCATTCCCAGAAAACAATAAATATCAAGTCTTTTGGTGTAAAGAGAATTAAAAAAACCCTCCTAAAGCTTATTGTTAAAGTGTTCTCAGCCCTGAATCATTTCTCACTTAACTCTTCTAAAGGCTCTGTCTTACTCTTTTCTCTAAAGCACCAACCAGATAGAAAAAAGAAAAACAGATAGAATCAAGGAATGGGAGCAGGCAAGCTGATCCCAGCAGACACTAATGGAGCACATGTGAAATGCATAGAGGCTGATCTGCTTTTCTGTATGGCAGGAAGCCTTAAAAAACTTCCACAGATCTCAACACCTTCTAGACCCATGTCTGATACTCTCCCCCTTCCTATCTCTCCATTCCTTTATTCCAGGCTGTGAAGGTGACTCCAGCATTGCTACAAGGGGAGAATCCTACCTATTTCAGAATGGAGTTTTGTTCCAGAAGATCCAATTAGAATCCATGTCCTGCTCAGCCCTTTCCTCTCCTCCATCCTTAACATTAAATCAGTCACCAAATTCAGTTGGCTCTGTCTCCTAAATATGTTTTGAAACTTTTCTTGGTTCCAGCCCTCAATCAACTTTTACTTGATTACTGCATTAGCTCCCTAGATGCATTCCCTGCCTCCATTCTGGCTTTCTGCCAATCTAACCATCATATTTCCTGTTTAAAAATCCTCCAAGTCTCCCTACTGTCCAAGAAAATAAGACAAAGTCCAAGCTCCTTACGATAACATATTTTATAATCTGACTCCACCCTATGTTTCCAACTTTAGCTCCTATCTCTCTCAGGTATAAACCCTATGCTCCAGCCACAGTAAATTATTCAGAGGTTCTGGAACATGGTCATTATTCTGCCATGATTTCTTGATGCTCTTTCCTTTTACTGAATACACTCCCTCCTTTTCTCTGACTGACTGATGGGTTCAAGACTTTTAAAACCAGCTCATAAGCTTTTTTAAATAAAAAAAAACTTGTTATGAAGCTCTCCTTGAATATCTAATATGTGTTTGACACTGCCAGACACCAAGGATGAAAAATGAATAATTAAGATGTTGACCAATTTCTTAAGAAGATCATTGTTTCTTATGTAGCATATGTAACAGGAAGTACAAGCAACTAAATTACGAGACCATCACGGTAGACTGTTACCCCAATGGCCTCCTATGAACCATGCCTCCTGGTGTGCATGCCCTTGTGCAGTTTCTCCTACTTGGGATTAGACACGTCACTTACTTTGGCTAATGAAATGTGAGCTAACATGATTCAAGCAGAGCCTCAATAAGCAGTCGTCCACTGGTGGCTTGTCTTTTTAAATCTGTCTCGGAAGCCAGCAGTCATGTTGCAAGGATGCTCAAGACCATCCTGGAGGATAAGACACCACATGAAGCAAAAAGGACACATGGAAAGGATCTGAAGCACCGCAGCTAAATATAGCTGCATGATGTGACCCCAATTAACACCAAGAAGAGCAGAGGGGCCCAGTCAGTCAACCCACAGAATCATGTGAACTGATGGACGCACAAGTTCCGGTGGAGCAAAGAGCGGGAAGTGATCCTCTTTGTATAGCCTGGAAAGAGAAAGAAGGAACCAGGGAAGATTTCACAGGGGAAGTGATTCCTGAGCTGTGTGTTGAAGGATGATCAGGAATTTTGCAGAGCAGGGGAAAAGGTATTAATGGTTGAGAAGATAACAAAGGCAGAGATGCATGAAACAAAAAGGCACATTCAGGGGATGATGAGAAGTTCTACTTTGGTGGTGAGAGAAGCATGAAAGGGAAGACACGGACAGTGAGACTGAGGGGGCAAAGGCAGGGATGAGGCCAACGGGGCCTTATCTGAAAGAAACGCTGAGGACCTTGGCCTTTACTTTGAAAGCAGTGAGAAGCCACTGAAAGATTTTAATTATGAAACTGACATGGTCGGATCTGTAATTTTAAAAAGTAACTCTGATTGGTATAAAAAATAAATTGAAGGAGAAAAAGATCTGAATGCAAGGAGGGATAGTCAAGGCAGGAATGGAAAGGAGATGGATTGTAGACATCTGAGAGGTAGACTGGTCAGGATTCAGTGAGTAATTGCAAGTGTTTTACTCATACAAACTGGGGTTACTTTTTCAAGTGTCTATGTGTCCCTTGGAACACACTCCTCTAGGACAGGGGAATTCCTATTGTTCCCCCAGTTCCTGGCATAGAAAGAGTTCTCAGTGAACATTTATTCATTAAATGAAGATGTTTTATGGGTACGTTTGGAAAAATATTTGTCAAACAAGGTATCTTTTCTTTATGACAAAAACATTTTTAATCCAAGTCATTTCAATCCATTTGTAACATAACTATTGCTTCATACAGAGCTCTGGCTGATTATGTCTTATGAAAACTTCGGATTTTAATTTGTGGATTCAGGCTGTTTTTAGTGAGCAGCATAGAGGATATCATGAATTTCTAAAGATGTAGGTAATCTTGCCACTAAGCTAGTAAATTATCAGTTCAGTTCAGTTCAGTTCAGTTCAGTTCAGTTCAGTTGCTCAGTCGTGTCTGACTCTTTGAGACCCCATGATCACAGCTCGCCAGGCCTCCCTGTCCATCACCAACTCCCGGAGTTTACTCAAACCCATGTAAAGTATAGACCTGGGCAAAAAGAAACCTGTCAATATTCATACATCTAGTACCTTATTTTCTTCCTAATATCAGGTTGGGCTGGCCAAAAAAATTAATTCAGTTTTAGGTATACATAAAAGACACATCTTCAATATTCACCAAGAATTGTATTGAGCAACATATTCACTAACCAAACTTTCTGGCCAACCCCAATACATGTTAAGAGGCACCAAATAAAAAGAGTCTGACCCTGGGTGTATTTTAAATAAATCAAAACCAACAAAGAACAATTCTTATAAACAAAATAAAATCCCAAATCTTACCTCCAGTGTTTTATCCAACTTAGCAGCTAGTTTTCCAATTTCATATAAGAGCTGAGGGCCAATGGGAATCTCAGCTATGGGTCTTCCTGGGAGGTAAGTCAGCAGCCTCACCAAGTAGCTTTTGACTTCGGAGCCACTATCTAGATGGATGGAAGGATATATTCTGTCAAATATTCTTGGGGGAAAAAAAAAGATTAGAGGCTATTCTGCCTTTGCAATTATTATAGCAAGGAATAATACAGAACAAGAGAAAAAAATAAAAACGTGCTAACACAGGACAAGTCAGCAGGATTCTATGAGGCAGGACTAAATGGATCAAGCCAGCAAGGAGAACTGATAGACTTAAGAACACTGGGGCCAGCCATTTACATCCTAACATGACTGTAGTCCCAAGTCTGCTGGCCTTAACTCTAAACGTAAATTATCTACTCTGATAAATGAATGCTTAAAATACATTTTTAATAAATTTGCAGTGGGTGAAGTTGTGATAAATAAATGTTTCAGAATCACAGACTTCTTTAGGGACAAACTACTGCTTGGAAAATTCTATTAGATACATCTTGCTCCTGCTGCTGCTGCTGCTGCTAAGTCACTTCAGTCAAGTCCGACTCTGTGTGACCCCATAGATGGCAGCCCACCAGGCTCCCCCGTCCCTGGGATTCTCCAGGCAAGAGTACTGGAGTGGGCTGCCATTGCCTTCTCTATAGATACATCTTAGCACTTAGAATTGAAAGGGACCAACTTTCACAGACGAGAGCTCGTAGCCTTAAGAATTTAAGTCACATATACCATAATTACAGAGCTGGGCTCTAAAATTCCTGATTCTGTGTGCTTTCTACTATATCACAGCACCAAAGTACAGAGCTGATTTGATAAATAAAACTATTTATTTTTCTAATTAAAAATAAAAGTTCCCCTAGTTTTCACATATCCTCTTAGTTACTCATCCATCAGATCCTTTGCAGGCAGAAGAGTTAGTTATACCAGATCCCAGCCCTAACCACAGCCCCAGTTTCCACTTTGGTGATGCTGTAGCTTCTCCCAACTGCTGAACAAAATAACCGTCTTAACTCTTGGAATGACATACCTGTTCTTGATATTTCTACTTGTAGCCAAAATGCAGTAATGTACATGGACAGGCGATGACCAGTGGTGGTCTCTTACCTACAGACACGAGAGAGGTTATATTGTCTCCTTTGGTACGGCACACAGAGGCTGTTGGAAATCCAGCTGCTCTCAGAAACATGATGATATGACTCTGCACTTCAATCAGGTCTGGAGTTTTGCTAGATTCAGTGTTGCTTATTTTGAGGACACATTCATTTGGGCCATCTGTAGTGACTTTGGTTCTTGCAATGCATACATGAAAGTTTTGGTCATCATAGCTAGGAAGTGGCTGGATCTTGGAAACTTTTAACCCAAATACTGATTCCACTAATGCAGAGGCTTGTATCTCACTGAAAGAGGGCTTGGTAAGAGCCTGTGATTGCTGACCATCTCCACTTGACATTATTTCTAAGGAAAACAAACAAACAAACAAACTGGAAAGGGGACTTATATTGAATATACTTATTTAAAAGAGTTTTCTTAAGACAGATCAATAATGCTTCCCAATACTGATTTGGTACTTCTTGATTGTGAATTTTCACTTATAAAGTTAAAAAAATCAAATGAGTAAATGAGATTTAAAAAGTAGATTAAAAACAGTCCAGCCTCATCCCTGCATATTTATGCAATAACTTTGTTCTTTAATTTCCAAGAGGCATGGTAGGCTAGCTGGTCCTGATGTCATCTACCTTATGTCTATTTCTCTAAGATTCCAGGCTTTCTATTAAAAGGTAAAAAGGGTCATTTTAATTTGCTGTTTTTGTTATTTATTATCTAGTGTTTGAGGATTCATATATTAACATACCATAGATGGGTAAATATATTTATTTTTATTACAAATAGCCCTAAATTACAAATAGCTTAAATCACTGTGACTTCTGGATATTCTGGAAGGAAAACTCAATCCTAAAACAAGTTTTCACAAGCTCAAAACCATAATGTAAAAAAAATATATATCCTTTAAATGTAAAATTAGGTAGTCAAGGGTGACATTTGGTAAGGGCAGGCAACAGCTCAAGGACAAGAAACTTGAACTGGTTAGGGCTTTATCAGACATCTAATCTCACTACAATAAATCAATGAAATTGATTAACATAATACTTATATTAATAAGCTACTACATGTTACAGAAAACATGCAGAATTGAATCATTCTATATTCAGTATCCTACTTAATTTTAAGTACAAACTGGGAAGTAAATTTTCTCCTACCTATTTACAGATTACAAACCCAAAACTTAAGAGAAATTGAGTAACTTGCCCCAGCTTGCACAGGTAGTAAACTGTAAAGCTCAAATTCAAATCAGATTTGTCTGAGTCCACTGTTCATGCCTTTTCTCTTATAGCGACTGTGGTTTATTAAAATAATTTATTCTTCATATTTCTTTGTATAAATGTGAAAATTTCCATTTTTGAATTTTAAAACCTAAAAAAAAAGACACAGATAAAAAAGTAGTAACTAAAAGTCCTTGTACCATAAATAATGTCTAAACTCACCTCACAAGCAAAATGTATGCTTCCAGGCACAGAATGCACACTGGGAAAGCACGTTGGTATCATGGGTTTCTCCACCCCTTCTAGCAACATCAACTTTATTTAAAGGAGGAATGTAGGTCCTAGGAGGTTGAGTGTCTTGCCCAAAGTTATATATAAAGTTACAGTGAGAACCCAGCACTTGACTCTCAATGCTTAAGTATGTCCTTTGGGTTTAACCCTTTATTACCATCACTTTGGGTTTAAAATGTAAATTCAAATACAGTGACCTTACTTTTCTGTGTTACAAGTATCATCATCTCGCTTATTGCGCATACTTCAAAGGGTGGGCTGATGTGCAAAGCATTCCCAAGAAGCACTGTGGGAGATAGGAAATGCAATTAGAGGGCTCTGAAGTTAGCTCACTGTCACAGATATCCTAAACAATGAAAAGCTTTAAGCTGCTCAAAACAAGCTACAAGGCAGTAACTGATAAACTAATAGAATGCCAAAGAAAACACTGAATTAAGTATAAACCTGATGAAGTGACTGAGTTTGCCTTAAATTGTGAAGAGTAAATTTTCTGGGACTTCCCCGGTGGTCCAGTGGTTAAGAATCTGTCTTGCAATACAGGGGATGTGGGTTCTATCCCTGGTGGGGGATCTATTAATAAGATCCTATGTGCTATGGAGCAACAAAATCCATGCACCATAACTAGTGACCCCGCACGTCAGAGCCCATGCATTACAACAAAGACAAAGACCCAAGGCAGCCAAATTAATAAATACTGAATTTATTTTTCTATGGCTAAGCAGAACAGGGGCTTAAAAATTAAGATTGCTTACAGAAAGTAAAGGCGCATCTGAGTTTATGACCTATGAAATTAATATCTGCCAAAACTATGATAGAAATTCAGAGGAGAGAGAAATTACTACAGCCTAATGATATTCTTGAGAAGATGGATTTTAATTGATCTACAAATATGAATTGGATAAACAGGATGGGGGAGACTGTTTTCTTCCCCTTAATAATGCCACTCTCTGCTACACATATTTTGCATATTTTCTGAGTTTGGGTGTGTGTGTGTGTGGGTATATATATATATATATATATATATATATATATATATACACTCACCATATATATATATGGTGGTGGTGGTTTAGTCATTATGTCATGTCCAATTCTTCAACCCATGGACTGTAGCCTACCAGGCTCCTCTGTCCATGGAATTTTTCAGGCAAGAATACTGGAGTGAGTTGCCATTTCCTTCTCCAGGGAATCTTCCCAACCCAGGGATCAAACCTGGGTCTCCTACATTGTAGGCAGATTCTTTACCCACTGAGCTACCAGGAAAGCTACCATATATAATAAATATGGAAGGAAATGTTAGGCTTCTGAATATCCTTCAGGAACCAAATATTTAAGATCCTTGCAATTTCACTTCCCCTTTTTCCCAAAATAGTTTTATTCCAATCCTTCCTTCATACTAAATTGCAAATAATTAACAACATCTTGGGGATGGGTTGCATTTTGGGCTACATGTGATTTCTGTTCAAAGGATGTAGTGTTATATAAAAAGAATCTCATGAACAGTTAGTGCTTGTTGATAGAAATCAGCACAGCTGTTGCTTCTGGCAAGAAGGTGGTATGAGGGAACTTTCTGGGAGGAAAATGTTCTATATCTTGACTAGGCTTTGGTTACATGGGTGTAAACATTTGTCAAAACTTAGCTTAAAACTTAAGTCAGCATAAGATCTGAGAATCTCACTGAATGTAAATTTTACTTTAAAAAAAAAAAAGAAAAGCTTTGTGAGAGACTGGCTAGTACAGGTGGTAGGGGTGGGGCCTTAGGACTTTCTTTCATGCGTTAGAGCTCCCCAAATCAGACCGTATGCCTGTTAACATCTAATCACTTCAGATCTATGACAGCCAAAGTCCAACTTAGTCCAGTGAGGGAAAGGGAATAAAATTCAGGGAGGTACACTAGGACTCTCCTATATGACCCCCTCTCTGATTCAGCCCCAAGGCTATAGCCTGATGACTCGTGATAAGATTATAACCCCCAAACACCAGTCTCCTTCCCATCCCTCGTTCCCCTGACCCTCTTAACCTAAGTGATTTCTCCTGCCTTTAAACTTGCAAAGCCCCTGTGCCACTGGTAGATTTCCACCACCTGTTATAGTTATTGCATTCTTGCCAATCACTCCCCATATTTACTTTCTGACTAGGGCATATGCTTTCAGAAGCAAATTAAGTAATTCAGATTTTGTTTACTAAAGACACTGTGACAAAGCTTGAATGGAGTTTAAAACAATCTCTGCACCTGAAACTTTTGGGAACCAGTATGTCCTGTCACACTGCATATGGGTTTAAGGCTTTACATGGGATTTTAACATTCTTTCTGGAGATTTATAAACAGGTGTCAGGACCATATTCAGAATGTAATATGAACTAAAGCTTTACATTCAAGACAAAATCCTAGAGTAATTTTTCAACTCCTAAAGCTTTAAAGATATCAGGATAATTTTGAATTGAATATGAATTAGAAATCCTTACAGTTGGAAGGACACTTAGAAGCAATTAGTGAAGGCCAATATGCTTTGCAGTATAGAAAATGTCCCTGTAACATTCTTGAATGGGGTTTGTTAACCCTTTACTTAAAGCACCCTGTTTTCTACAGCAAAGTTGGCAGCTCTAGCCATCAAAGACAGCCTGGTGTAACAAAAAGTTGTGTTGGCTAAGTGCATTTTATCACATTAAAAAATAGAATAAAATAGTTTCTATGCTGGGAGAGATAAGACATTTTATTTTATACATAACCTCTGAAACTTTGCACTATTCACATCTCCTCTAAAAGGGAGTTGGACTAGATTATCCCTAAAAATTCCTTCTAGTGCTAACATTCTGTTTCTAAATTTCTGTTTTTGAGCTTAAATTTAGTTTTTTTTTTTTAGTTCCAAATATGGAACTAATGGCACAGATCAAGTCAGAACTTGTGCACCACCTGGGAAGCCCAAGTAAGTAAATACGGAGAAAGAAATGTGTTGATCAGAGATGTCTGTCTTAACCAAATGCCTTTTGTATGGGTGGAGTGGGTGAAGAAGGGAACTCAAATCCTATAGGTAGTTGTGCTGTATTTCCTGCCAACAGTGTTTTACTTGGCTTCTGAGAAAGGGCTCAGGAAGCAAATGTTTTCCAACTCCAGGGCTTATGCCAGAATCTCAAAACCTTTGTCCTACAACCTGGGGGACTGGACCTTAAACTCTGCACTTTGTGTAAGGTATACCGGACGAGAAACAGAAATCATTCCTGATTCTTTCTTCTTCCTCACTCTCAAAGTTTTACAAAGTCTATTAAATTCTACCTTAGCGTGTCTTCCAAATCTGCCCTTCTTGTCCTGCTGTGTCCTTCCAAGGTTGGGGAGCAAGGATTATATCCAGTAAATCTCCGTATCCCCAGCCCAGATTCTAGCCTAGATTCTTATTAACTATCAAGAGGAATTAATGACAGAAGGGTTACTTTCATTCCACAGGCTCATAAGGGCAGTTTACTCTCAAAGGGTTTCAGGAAACAGAAAGATAGGGAACTAGAATCTGTAGTTTTTCAAAGACAACAGCATTGGGAGCCCTGAGTGTTTTCCTTCTGGGTGAGAAGGAACAGGTGGTAGGAGAGCGGCTGCAAAAGGGTTGCTGACCCAAGAGATAGGAAAATAAGGGACGAAGAGGGCACATTAGTCGGATTCAGAGTGTTATGCTAGTGAAGTCCAGTGGAGCTCAAGAAACTGTTCCCACTAGACCCCTGGCCGGTAGTGCCAGGCACCGCACAGGTTGGACCAGATGGCTTCTCAGGTGCCACACCCCAATTCTGGGATCTCAGCCCAACCTTCTTGGTTGTAGGTGCGATCCAGCGAGGACGGTGACTTGCGCAT